TATAGTCGAGTAGAATACAGTATAGTCGAGTATAGACGAGTATAATAGAGTATAGTCAAGTATAGTCGAGTATAATAGAGTATAATAGAGTATAATAGAGTATAATAGAGTATAGTCGAGTATAGTCGATTATAGACGAGTATATACGAGTATAATAGAGTATAATAGAGTATTGTCGAGTATAGTCGAGTTATAACGAGACATGATCTAGTGCACGCGTTCTTTACGAAAATTCAAACAATTGTTTTTAATTTAAAAATTCAAATTTATGTTATATCTATAATAATAAATAATAATAAATTTAAAATTAAATTTATATTATAGTTAATAATATTAACTATTGTATATATATATATATATATATATATATATATATATGAATAGTTTAGTTGTAACTTACCTAATCCAAAAGAAAAATGTAAAATCAACGACAATTGTTACAAAGAGTGGATAAAAATTGAAATAATAGAATAATATTAAAAGTATTCGATGCACTAGGTCCGAATTAAACCAATATATATATATTCCAGTGAAACCCGTTATCAATAATATTAAAAGTACACAAGCAATGCATTGATACCAAAATAAATATGAATAGTTTGTCATTATTTTCAATTGTACGATTTCCAATGTACAAATTTCCAATTGTTTTAAAAATAATTTCATCAACTGTTTTTACAAAGGATAAATTAATTATCAAATAATGTCTCAACGTATTGATTTAATTTTTTTTTTTTTTTTTGTAATTTAAAAAACAAATTTACCTTTCTTCTGTTTAAACCAGCAATTATTGCAACGACGAAAGATGTAGCATTATTAATAATTTGTGATTTGATAATTGTCGTAGTCACAGTTTCAAGATCAGACCCAATAAATACATTCATCTGTTGTCCAAACAAATAAATTAAAATACAATAAAATAATAAATTACTAATTGCATAAATAAAACCGATGGTGCTAATAGTTCGATCAACGAAATATTCGATTAGGCCAGTGCAAACTATCGAATTTGCAATAATTAATGGCACAAATGTACGTTGAAATTCTTTTAATTGAAACATTTTTCCTTTTTTTTTTTTTTTTTTAATTTAAACAATTTTCACTGAAAAACATATACAACTTTTGAAAACTTATTTCATTTAATTTTATAACAACTTCTTACTGTACTTTTTCGAACGATACTAATTCATAACACCGTAACTCATATTCTTAATATACTTGAGTGTTTTCGTAATATTATTATGACTTGTATTTATCCAGGAAATAATGAGTAACCATTTTCTTATTTCACCCTATCATCATCATCATCCATTTACCCTTCATCCACCCCCTACTTTTATCATGTCAGATATCTAAATTGTTATTAAAGAATTGTTATAATAGTATTAGTTGATTATTCAATAAAAAAAAAATCAATAAATAATTATGCACTTATATTTCATACGTTTTTATGGTAATTTAATTTTTAATTTTTATTAATTTATAATAAATTACTTTATATATAATAAAAATTAATTATTATAATACAGGTTATTATATTATATTAATAATTATATTTATAATTATTAATAATAATATTATATAAATTATATTATATATTAATTATATTAATTTACTCTAACATATATATTATATATTTAATATATGTATAGTAATAATTATATAATTATATATTGTATAATTAATAATAAAAATAATTAATATAATATAGTTAATTATATTATATTAATA